TTGCACGACACACTTCACAGGTTCGTAACAGCCAACCTTGTATCGCTCATCTCTCTCTCTCTCTCTCTCTCTCTCTCTCTCTCTCTCTCTCTCTCTCTCTCTCTCTCTCTCTCTCGGCGTAGCGATGTCTTCAACGCAGGTACGTAGTAAGCCAATCTTGTATCGCTCAACCTTTCTTTCTCTCTCTCTCTCTCTCTCTCTCTCTCTCTCTCTCTCTCTCTCTCTCTCTCTCTCTCTCTCTCGGTCTTCTCCTTCGTCGTGGTCTTCTTTGCAGGTGCGCGGCGGCTTCTTCAACCTCCCGGTCCGCTATGGTGGACTTCCTCCTTCGGCGGCCTCCTCAGCTATGGCGCATCACCTCCCTGCGACACACAACTCAGCGCGTGGAATAGCGGGTACCAGCTCTGACACCAATGCAATCAGACTCGTTCTCATTCACACTTCTCATACATGCAAACAGGTGTGCAGCATACGGGCGACAAGCGCCCACTCAAAACTCAGAGATATGGTAACTCAGTTCATGTACAAACTCGCTTCAATGGCTATGGCGACTCAGCGCCCACAGAACTCTCTTAGCTCGCCTCTCCTGGATCACCCTGGATATCCCACACGCATCTCGCTGAACTCACACGCACACACACTCTGAACACTAACTACAGCTATGGTGGCTATGGCCGCCACTACCCTATCGCTATGGCTAAACTTCGTTTTCCTTGCCCACTTCGTCCTCGGGCTCACTGCAGACCTCCTTGCACAAGTCGCTGTGGCAGCGCTTCCGCATGGCTCACGCGGGAATGAATGAATGACTGGGTGCTGCCCCTTGATTTATACTTCTGCAACTCGTTGGTCTGGCCCTTTCCCATGCCCGAAGTGCACACAGTCCCATGCGGTACTTGCTTGACTGGACTAGGACTGGGACTGCTGACTCAGCACGGGCAGACTCCACCACTTGTGTCACCACTTGCCCACTTGCCTCAACCTAAGTGTGGGACACTCCGAAAGGTCACTACTCAGACCTTCCGGAAGGCCGTAGACTTGGCCTTTCGGTCCGAAAGCAGCTACGAGTTTGACCCTTCTGGACTGTAGCAGCTACGACCCTGACTCTTCGAGAATGCTATAGTTACGACCTCTGGACCTGACTACGACTCCTATTCGACAGGTCTACAGATCGAACCCTGGCTACCTATGGACCCTACGACAACCTATCAATTGTTACAAATACACAAGTCGCGGGTTCAACTCTAGGGGTCAACACAGGTACTGTACACAAGTAAGGTGGGGGCTAGGGATCGAGCCCTGGGATCTGCATCAGCTATTGCGAACTGGTGAATACCGTTTCACTTGCGCTATTCAGCACCATTTTGTATGTGTTAGAATGCACATTGCTGAGATTCTACTTGCACTGTATTGTCCATTCAATCCTTTTTATCACATTGCGGATCCTCGGTTTCTATGTGCATCGCCCAACTGGGCATGTAACAGTTCGTATCAGAACACCGCACGTGAATCAGGACAACCTGATCTGACACGTATGCGGGGACTAGGTAGCTGGTCAGTCTTTATTGATTGATTAGAGCAGACTAGTTAGACCCCAAAATCACGATTTTGACCTTACTGCCGAAAATCGATTTTTTTTTTTTCTTCTTGGATTTTGTTTTCTCGCTATTCTGTTGTGGAAAATCGCAATAGTGCAACATCTGAAATTTCCATTTTCGTTTTTCTTCTGAAAATTCAAAAATTCGTTGTTGAAAATCCGGAATATCCTTCTTCTCGAAAATTTTGATTTCCTGTTGCATTTCCCGTTACTTGAAAATTCGGAATATTCTTTTTTCGAAATTTCGTTTTTCTGAAAACGGTACGAGAAATCCCTCCTGCAGGTATTATTTTCCAAACTGCGAATACTGTCATATGAGTAAGTCCGAATATTTTATTTCTTTTCGAAATTTTTTTTTTCCGCAGTTTTAGGATTCCGTCAGTCAGTTCTATAAATCGTTTGCCGTGTGAAGTCTAAATTTTTTTCTCTCATTGATCATTTCGCACTTCAAGGGAGGTTGGGAGACCTACTGAACTTGCACAACTCGGGATTTTATTATTTCGAATTTTTTTTGCAAAGTTCAAACTTTTCTTTTTTGATTATCTGGGCGATTCTCCCCACCCACCCTCCCCACCTATGTTGTTGCCCCCTCTGGCCTTACCTTCTCTATCCATCTCCGGGTACCCCCTGCGACGACATTGGTGAGTTGCCACGTCAGCAGACCACGTCAGCAGGACACGTCATCAGGACACGTCTGCTGTTGCGTTCACGTACAGCCATCATGGACCAGAGGTTCGGAGAAGCAGACGAGGCCTATTAGGCCAGGATGCTGGCTTCGAGTACTGAAACAAAGAAACGGGCGGATGACGCAGCAGCAGCAGCGAAGAAGAAGGCAGAGGACGCCGAACAGGCACGTCTGCCGGCAATTGAACAACAACGCCAGCATGACGAGGCAGCAGCAAAGGCTGCTGATGAAGAAAGAATTCAACGTCGTGAGAAGATATTTAACGGAGAGCGGACCTTGCTCACAATGGCAGCGGAATGGCGGACCGAGGCCGAGAATGGAAAGATGGAGGATTGCGAAAACAAGATCGCTCTCCTCCTCTCCCAACTCACAGACCTCCTGGCTACATGCATTACACAGCAGGAGTACATCCACAGCCTCGATGACTCGCTGGCTCAAGTCCAAGGCCGCCTCCGGCAGTTGGAGCAGCGACCAGTCGCCGCCCCCAATGCCAACTCTTCCAACACCTCCGATCGCCTCGAAGCATTGGAGATGGACATCGGCTCCCTCAAGGATGGCGTGCAATTACAGCAGACCGCGACGCAACAGTTGGAACAGCGGATCTGTGCTACCGCCAACACCTCAGGACCAGAACCGCGCGAGACAGCTCCAAAGTTTGACGGGCAGGAGATCTTCTGCGACTCGACGAAGACAGATCCGATTCCATGGTTCCGCAAGTTCGAGCACACGTTGCAGCTACACAACGTCAAAGAACACAAGCAGCACGCGTACATATACTCCCACTCGGGGGGCGCATGCCAGGCTTGGTTGGACAACCTCTTGTCCAAGTACGAAGTGGTAGCTAACGACTTGCACACCCAGATCAGTTGCGATGATCTGAAGGCGGCGTGGCATAAGCGGTTCCAAGTCGAGCCGCCGGAGATCAAGGCTATGGACAAGCTCATGGTCTTCGAGCAAGGCACGCTGCCGAGTACCGACTGGATTGTCGGGTACCAATGCTTGACATCAGTCTCAGACATCCAGATGGGCTTCAAAGCCATCCGCCACTATTTCATCTCAAGGTCCTGTCCTGCATTAAGTAATGCCCTGACTCACGTCGAGGACACCTTGACGACAACGGCGGAACTTTTTGACAAGGCCGCGCAGATCATCATTACGAACAAGGAGGCTAAGAACCTGCGTTCGTCTGCGGCAGGCCCGAGCAGGGACCAGCATCTGCCAAGAGTGGCCGTGGTCGCGGCGGCAACGCCGTTTGACCAAACTAGCGAGGCCGTATCTGCCCATGAAGGAGACAGACTCGCAGCCGCCCGGGAAGGTGGCCGCCCCGGCAGAGGCCGAGGACGTGGCAAGACGAAGACACACACCGCATCTAGCCCCAGGCCCAGCGCAGCAGCTCCAGCCCCTTGGTCCAATACGGCATCTCCGAGCAAGCATTCAAGGCGCGCACGAGATTCCACTATTGCCTCTGGTGCAACAACGATTTCCATGAGACACTGGCCTGCCCATTGAAAGGCAAGGGCAAACAGGGAAACTGAGCACCGCCGAGAGTGACTCGACAATACTCTCGACGCCTCAGGAACCGGTTTCTTCGCGAGTAACCGGCCTTCATTCCGAGGCGCATGCGGAAGTCGATAGTCCTCCTCTTCTATATTCTTTTGAGGACTATGCTGCTCGGCTCGTTCCTACGCTGGGTACTCAAGCTCAAGGACAAGATGTGTGTGCGGCATCTTCACCGTCCGGCAGCGGCGACTTATCGTCTTCAAGTGGTTCTTCACGGGATTCGGCGCGCGAGTTCAACATAGAGGTATTCGACCCGCTCACGTCCGAGGACTTTGCATGGCTTCCTCTCCCGGCTACGGGCCACTTGCCGGGACCGCAATGCGCAGCACTATGCGCCCATCTCCACACGTACTTATCCTTCTATGCACCACCAACTTCGCCGACGGATGACGAAGTCGCGGTGGGGGACACCCTTGCGTATGTTACCAAGGTGGCCCACGAGTTTCGCACGCAGCCATACGATGACAACAATGCACCGCTCATGTATGTCCGCATCCAGGTTGGGCAAGCGTCCTGCAGCGCTTTGCTGGATAGCGACGCGTCTCGCAATTTCATGAGCCAAGCCTTCATGCAAAGGCCTGGCCTTGGCGCACAAGTTTGGAGGAAGGCAAGCCCGACGGCGATCAAGTTGGCGGATGGAAAGACGCAGCAACTTCTCGACCGTTACATCGAGGCCGTACCGGTTTATTTCGCACGTCATGCATGCGAACCGGTAACCTTCGACATTCTCGACGCGGACTTCGACATCGTTTTGGGAATGCCTTGGCTTGCAAGTGCGGATCACACGGTCAACTTCCACCGGCGGACTCTTAGCGTTCGCGACGCCTTCGGCGTGGAAGTGGCGTGTATTATTCCTCTACCGCACCCTTCGATTCGGTGCCAAGTGGTGACGGCCAAATCATTCTGGGCGACTTGCGCTTACGAGCAGCCCGAGGAGATCGGCCTATGTTTCCTACGGACCGTCGCGGTAGCCGACTCTTCACCCACAGACTTGTCTTCGGACCCCCGAGTGGTGCGGTTGCTAGACGAGTTCGCCGACATCTTCGAGTCTCCTACCGGTGTGGTGCCGGATCGGCCGATCTCTCACGAGATCATTCTTGAGGCCGGTGTCGTGTCGCCGAAAGGTTGCATCTATTGGATGAGCGAGGAGGAGCTTGAGGTCCTCCGCGCACAACTCGACGACTTGTTGGCCAAGGGCTGGATCCGCCCTAGTAGCTCCCCATATGGAGCACCAGTTCTCTTCATCCGGAAGAAGAACAAGTATCTACAATTGTGTATTGACTACCGCAAGCTCAACGAGCAAACCGTCGAGAATGTGGGGCCTCTTCCTCGCATCGACGATCTTCTTGAGCGATTGGGCGGTGCAAAGTATTTTTCTAAGTTGGATTTAAAATTGGGATATCATAAAATCTCGATCCGAACGAATGATCGCTACAAATCCGCGTTCAAGACGCGGTACAGGCATTTTGAGTGGGTGGTCATGCCTTTTGGCCTCACCAACGCCCTGACGACCTTTCAAGCGGCAATGACCAACGAGTTTCGTGCAATGTTGGACCGGTTCGTGCTGGTCTACTTAGACGATATTCTCATCTATAGCCGGGCATTGGAGGATCATCTTGGGCATCTTCGACGAGTGTTGGAGACGCTCCACCGCGCCAAGTACAAGGCCAACCGTGACAAGTGCGAATTTGTCCGGCAAGAGCTGGAATACTTGGACCATTTTGTCACACCGGAGGGCATCAGTCCGCTATCGGACAAGGTTCAAGCCATCCAAGAGTGGCCGGAACCTCGGAACATCACGGATGTCCGTTCGTTCCTTGGCCTTGCCAGCTACTACCAGCGTTTTATCAAAGGCTACTCGAAGATCGCGGCCCACTTGACCAAGCTTCAATTCGAGGATCGACCATTTGACCTCCGAGAGGAGGCGCGGGAATCATTTTTGGCTCTCAAAGCCGCGCGATTATTTGCGGAGGTCTTGCGCATATATGACCCGCTTTTGCTTACACGCGTCGCTACGTATGCGTCCGGCTATGGCATTGGTGTCGTCCTCGAGCAACATGACGGTGTGGACTGGCACCCGGTCGAGTATTTCAGCAAAAGAGTTCCCGTCGTGCATTCCATTGACGATGCACGCAAGAAGGAGCTCCTCGCCTTCGTCCACGCGCTCAAGCGGTGGCGGCACTTCCTCCTTGGTCGAAGCCAATTTCGATAGGTAACGGACAACAATCCGTTACTCTTCTATAAGACCCAAGACACCGTCAACAGCACCATCGCTCGATGGATGGCTTTCATTGACCAGTTCGACTTCTTTCCCGATCACATTCCCGGGAAGTCGAACCGTTTTGCAGATGCTCTTTCACGACGTCCGGATCACTGTACCGCAGTCTACTCAACCTTCGAGATCGACGATGACCTGCGGAACAGCTTCATCTGCGGCTACAAAGCCGACCCCGAGTTTCGCGACAAGTACACGAATTGCTCCTCTCCTAATCCACCGCCTTCTCACTACCGGATCCAAGAGGGGTACTTGCTTGTCCACACGCGGGGGAAGGACCTTCTTTGCGTACCAAGTGATCCTCACTTGCGTACACGGCTTCTTGGCGAGTTCCACGATGCTCCCGCCACCGGACACTTTGGAGTCAATCGCACGATTGTCCAACTTCGTGAGCGATTTTGGTGGCCCGGCCTTCTCGGCGACGTCACACGCTATTGCGAGTCCTGCGAGGTTTGCCGATGCTGCAAATCCCGCAACCATCGTCCATACGGCGAGTTACGACCATTACCAGTCCCATTGAGGCGAAGGGAAGCGATTGCCATGGACATCACCGGCCCGTTCCCCAAGCACAAGACCGGCGTGGATGGGATTTTCACGGTGGTCGACCGACTTACCAAGTTTGCCATGTTTTTGCCTTGCGGCTATCATGCCAAGGCACCGGAGTTGGCCGAGGTTCTCTACGCCGGTTGGATTCGAACCAAGGGTTACCCCAAGGAAATCGTCTGCGACCGCGACATTCGGTTCATGTCCGATTTTTGGTTGGCGCTCATCAAGCGATGGGGCTCATCTCTCAAGCCCAGTTCAGCTCGCCACCCTCAGACCGATGGCCAAATGGAGAGGACGCACCAGACCGCACAGGTTCTCCTTCTCACTCTCATTCGTCCTGACCAGAAGGACTGGGTTGAGCGGCTGTCGGATGTCGAGTTGGCCTACAACTCTTCCATCCACCCGGCTATCGGGATATCACCTTTCCAGCGGGTGCTACGATCGGCCAAGGCCCCATCCATTTCGGGAGGAGCTTGCGAGAGATGTCTTGTTCAAGGCTGAATTCCGCTGCGGAAACCCAAACGAGGTCGCCTGCGTGGAATGGGCAAGGAAGACGCTGGCGATTGGCCTGCTGGCTCATGCGCTGCTGCGTCTTAGCCATCTGGTCGCGTGCCTTGACAAGAAGCTCTTGCATCCGACGCAAGAAAAGAAGATGGTCGTCGCTCTCGGCCGTTCGTGGAGTGATAGTGTCCAATGGTGAAGTGACCGGCGAGCCGTGCTCGAACTCTTCACGATTCAGGTGCCCGCCCACTTGCCCGTCTACCCAGTCTTTCATTGCTCCAAGTTGGCTCTTTACACGCCAGCGGAACATGACGATTTTCTCGGGAGACGTTCGTAAGACCCACCCTCTATGGACGGTTTTCAGGAGGTCGGCGACATCATCTCCCAGCGACGCTACGACAACAGGCCAACCGAGTATTTGGTGCATTTTGCATACTTGACACACCAAGCTGACCGTTGGTTGACCCGTGCGGAACTTCAAGCAACAGCTCCAGACGTTCTCGCACGCTACGAACGCAAGATGCAAGGCAAGCCGGTCTCTTCGGCTCCACGTCGCGCCCGCGTCCAGGTTCCACCTTCAGATCGTCGGCTCCGCTCTCGCCCTGGCTTGACTTCATAAGGAGGGGGCGGTGTTACATGCTGCGCCTGCACACGAGGGCCATTTTCCAGGCCCTGCGTCCCTCAGGCTGAAAGCGTGAAAACCAGGGCCTACAGGCCCCGTGTCTGTTCAGCCCGAAAGCCTAAAAAACAGGGGCCTACAGACCCTGTGTCGTTTCAGACTAAAAATGGCAATAGCCTTTTTAGCCTGAAGCGAAGGGCCATTTTCGGTCGTTCATCAGAACGACGGGCCCTGAAACTCAGGCACCGAACCAGGGTTTCGGGAACAGGCTATTCTTGGCCTGTTCCCACGACAGCCTCGGCAGAGGCTGCAGCGCCAGCCCCTGGCACACTTCAGCATTGGCAAGAGCAGCCTCCTCGGCCTGGCTCGCCCTACAGGCMGTCAGGAGGCAGGCCGAGGTAGTACATAGGGACTTCCCATGCACTTCAGGGGGAGGCAGGAGGCAATCAGTAGTCTTCAGGATTCGGCAGCAGCACTCTGGAGGGAGCGCTGCAGGAGTAGTAGTAGCGTTAGCATTAGTCTTCAGCGCTGGGCGCAGTAGGTAGCTGTAGTCTTCAGCGTTGGGCGCCATAGCTAGGATAGCACTAGAGAGAGAGAGATTGGGCGGAGGCCAGGAGTACTTACCTGCAGCGCCATTGCTCCAGCTTCGTCTTCGAGGTACCTGCAGCACAGAGCCAACTTCACAGGTTAGTATCTGGCTCGTGACAGAGAGAGAGTTCTTCTTCTTCCTCCTCTCAGTCCACCATCTCCCTCTCACCCTCTCCTTATCTAACTTCACTGCATCTGCAAACTACGAGAAAAGAGTGAGAGAGAGAGAGCTTGGTGACATTGGATCCAGACTCGACTTTGGGCTTCAGACATTACGACGAGGGATTATTTGGGACTTGTGACAAAGACTTGGTGTTACGACATTCCCATCTCTCCCCCTCTCTTCATCTGATCCCCTCCTCTTCGTCTGCGTATGTCTGGACCTGGCGCTTTCTTCCTGTGTACAGCGCCAGGCTCCTTCACACTTTGTGATGGATACGATGTATGTTTGGTCTGCGTTCAAACATTGATTGGGCTAGTCATTAGCATTCTAGCATTCTGCTTCGCTATCTTATACTACGTGGATGAGGTCAGTCCCGGTCAGGTCAGGATTTGTATCTAAGTCTTCCCTGCGCTATTCAGCACCATTTTGTATGTATTAGAATGCACATTGCTTGTTGAGATTCTACTTGCACTGCATTGTCCATTCAGTCCTTTTTATCACATTCTGGATCCTCGGTTTCTATGTACATCGCCCAACGGGGCATGTAACAGGTACTCAGAAGTCGTCAAACAACAGTAGTCTCATTGTCTGCATCATAGTCTCCAAATCGTGAAGTGGTATCTCAAACAGTATCTTATTACCATCAAAAGAAGAGAGTGGAGGGGGAATAGACAAAGGAGAGGAAGAGAGATCACACAGTAATAAACCCTTCACATCCCTCTCCTTCTCCAGGCTTCTACCCACTCCACATCATCAATAAGTATATTGTAATGACCCGCCAAAAACACAGACTGAGAACACTGCTGATTTCTGGGATTTGCCGCTGGAATGAATGCCTTGCTGAGATTCCTGCATTCTGCTGTGGTTTCCAAGTCTGTGTGTGTGTGCGTGCCTGCTGGTTTGCATGTCTGTCTGAGTGCTTGTCGGCTGAGTGTGTGTGTGACCCGCAATGGTACTTGTTGGTTGAAAGGCCCCGCAGGGCCGGTACTTACCTGTGGCCGTGACTTTGAGGGTTGCAGCAGGGAAAACACTCAAATAGCGGGGGTAGGCCCGCGGCACTTAGAGCAGCGGGGAAAAACACTCAAGTAGCAGGTAGGCCGGTACCACTCAAGTAGTGGTAGGAGTGTCGGGTACTGGAGGCCGAGCAGAAAAGACAAAAAGTTGGCATTTTTGGAGGCCCAGTAGCGGTAGGATAGAGGTAGGCCGGTACCAGTCCAAGTAGCCCGGGTCTAGGGCCTGTCCGGACGATAGCAGAGCCTGCAATGATGTTTCCCTCCGAAAGGGAGGAGGTACCGGTTGCTGGGAGGCCGCTTGGCCTAGGAAGTCACCGCCCAAGAGGCCAGTAGGCCGCTACATCTTCCGGAGGAGCAAGTAGCTCCTCATTTGCGGTATGCAAGGATTGGCGACATGCTGCTGAGCGAAGCACTGGACTGGTGCAGCGCTGCCTGGAGGTGAAGGGCAGCTGGGAGCTCAGCCTGGCTATGGCGAGCAGCCCAGCCTGAGGAGGAGGAAGAAGGGGGCGAAGGAGGAGAGTGGCGAGGCACCTACCTGGCTATGAGAGTGGCGAGGCACCTACCTGGCTATGGTGGACACCATCTTCATCACCTTGTTGGGCACTGCATCTGGAAGGCCCCAGTTGGGGTAGTGCTGCACCAAGGAAGCTCGAGGCAGAGTCAGGCATGGCGGAATAGTCAGCAGCGGCATAGCTGCTTTGGGTTGTCCTGTGGACAGGAGTGCAGCGCCATAGCTTCTTTGGGTTGTCCTTTGGACAGGAGGGCAGGGCCCTCAGTAGTCCGCCATAGCCTAGGCATGTGAGAGGAGGAAGAAGGAGGGAAGCCATAGCTATGGTGGACTTGTTGTTGTTGTTGTTGTTGTTGTTGTTGTTGTTGTTGTTGTTGTTGTTGTTGTTGTTGTTGTTGTTGTTGTTGTTGTTGTTGTTGTTGAGTCAGCAGTAAGAGGGAACTTCGGATATTGATTCTGGTTCATCCACTCATTGTTATTATTATTATTGGGAAGAAGAATAAGATTGGAGAGGTTAAGGAGGAGGAGGAAGGTGGAGAGAGAAGGGGGGATTTGTCATTGGTCTTGCTGGTGTACATTTTCTTCTTCTTCTTCTTCTTCTTCTTCTTCTTCTTCTTCTTCTTCTTTCCCTCTTCTCTGGTCTCTATCTCTTTGCAAGTGTTTTCATTTCTTTCGCAATTGGGTGGCATTGTCTTTCATTGTGAATTTGCACTTTGGGAATGACCAGGATCGTAACAATATTCTTGATCACACACAATAGTGCCACGTGGCACTTTATCTCATGAAGACTCAGAAGACACAGTAGATTTCCAGTGACGAAGTCAACCTCAGGTGAGTACCCGATTCCCTACATCCACAGATCCCGATCTTCCTCCTCCTCGCAACCAGTCACCTCATGTAGACAGCGTGGACAATGCCACATCAGCAATCGACACAGGTGGCATTTGCCACATCATCAATGTAGACCAGTAGCAGCGCCACGTAGACCAGGAGCAGCGCCACATAGATCAGAGGCAGCGCCACATAAGCATGCCACGTAGATAGGAAACAGCGCTACATATACCAGAGGCAGCAACAAGTCAGCATGCCACGTAGACCAGAGGCAGCACCACATATACCAGAGGCAGCGTTGCGTCAGCATGCCACGTAGACCAGAGGCAGCGCCACGTCAGCATGCCACGTAGACCAGAGGCAGCGCCACATATACCAGAGGCAGCGCCACATATACCAGAGGCAGCGCCACGTCAGCATAGCGTGGCGCACTGAAAAAGCGCCAGCATGCTGCCTCCACCTCGTGCTGTCGCCCGCAGCGCCTGTGCACAGCCAGCACGTAGCCAGCGTCTAGCCAAAGTCGAGCCAGCGTCAAAGCAGCATAGCAAGACTGAATGGTTGACTCGCTCGAGGCCAGCCTTAAGTAGCAGTCGTCGAGGCTGTCTGGCCTCGGGTGCCTTTCCCCTAGTCATCCAGATTGACTCACATCTCAAGGCCCGGATTGTACAGTTGCAGACTTCTCCCTTGGACCTGATGCGGTTTGGGTACCTGCATACAAACAAGTGTGTGTGCTTGACCTGCGGTGTTACGGACTCCGCCAGGGCTCGACCCCTGTCCTATTTTGTTGCTGTTTTTCCTACATCACGTTTTTGGCCTGGCACCCTTTTTCCAAACCCCTCCTTTGGTACCATCGGATTTTGGACAACTGGCGCTATGCTACAATTCGGGCGCCACTTTCAAATACCGCATTTTTCAGTTCTGCCCTCGGGGCTTTTGCAGAGATGCCCCTGGTACGTACGTGTCACGACACTTATACTGGTTCCCTGTACAGTACGGGCAACCAGTCTCGTACCAGTTTCAGCTGCTGTACTCGTACTCAGTGTGACTTGCTCCTGTTTTCGGCAATGCGGAATCCATGACTTCGACTTTGTGTCCTTGCCACTGTGTCTGCGTCCGACCCTCAGTCGTGTCGAGTGAGTGAGTGTGTGTGTGTGCTCTCACTCTCTCCCTCTCTCTCCCCTCTCCCTCGGCTCTCCCCGTCTCCCTCAGCCTCGCGCTCGTTACACTGGTATCGGAGCGGTTCGAACCCGCCCGACCCACC